CACTTACTGAACTCATTGAGGAGCTGCACGCTGAGGTAAGAGACACAGAAAGGAAAAGACACGGCCCCTGCCCTCAAGATGTCCATACTCCAGGGGGATGGTAACACACAAGTCATTGTCTTGCATTATTGTTCTTCGTAGGACTCATCACCATCTGACATATAATATATATACTTTATTCCCTCTCTCCCCACTCACTAGTGCCTCTGTCCTGCTCACGGCTGTACCTCCAGTTCCCGGGGCTGCAATGGATAGCTGTTCAAAGAATGAAGAGTGTAAAAATTGCAAGGAAAATGAAGAAGCAATACTAAGTATGCCTGGGGAACTTATAGATTTTCTAAGAACTACAATGCTCAAAACCATTCTTGGAGAATGACTAGCTTTCCAAGCAGTTTGGGGTCGAGAGGTGAGATGCAGGCTGCGAAGAGGAGGTGTTTCCAGATGAAGGTCACGGCAGGTGCAAAGGCACGAATGTTCCTGGAGACTGTTTTCTTTTGCACCTTCCCAAAGGGACCATAAACTTCAAAAAAAGCAGGAGCTGTTTCAAATCTCTCTTGTGCAGGTTCCCTCTACCTCTTCCCAGGACAGGTCTGGGATGCTAGGAGGCTTTAATCTCTCAGAACTCAAAAAAGAAGACAATTTTCTTGTAAACTATATTCTCAAATATGCCAGGGAGGGCAGAGAGTAAAGCTGAAGCTAGGACCAGATACTCTTTAGCCAACAGTAATTCCCAACATAAGGAACATATATGGTCCCTTATTTGCAAAGCAAAGCTCCGGCCCCATCTTAGCCTCCTCGCAGCCCTGTGAAAACATCATTTTTCCATTGCCAAAATGAGAAAAGGGAAGCACAGAGGATTAACGTATAAGGAAGGCCAGAGCCAGCCGGGATCCTGGGTCCCTTGATGGGAAACCTGTCTGACCCTGCTGCCTCCTTTCCAAGCAGGGCCCTTGGCCGTCCCAAGCACACTGAATGTTTCCCTGTGATGACCCTTCTAACTGTAGCACATGCGGAGGGGAAGTGCTCCCCAAGATGGGCTTCCTCCACTGTTGACTCTGGGGTTTCCAGGCCACCTTAATGACAATTGGACATACTGAGCCCACGCGGGCTCCTTCCAACCTGACACCTGCACCTGCTGGGTTCCCAAGGTTATGACAGTTTCGCTTTTCCCCACTGGATTTTAGTAGTCACTGTCACATGGCTGGTAGCAGATAGTTCCTAATGGGCGAATCAACGTCACTGCCGGAGGGCCTTGATATGGTCTGCTGAAACGATCCCCAAACAAGCCAGAATTTGTAGACTAGCTCAGAGACTGAGTGATAGCCTCTAGAGAAATAGCTCATCTGGGCAAAAACAGCCCAAGGTCACTTTTTCCTGTATTTCTTTTTCTTTTTTACACATTAAAGTATTAGGTCTTTTTTAAAGATTTCATTTATTCTTTTGACAGAGAGAGAGAGAGAGAGAGCACAAGCAGGGGGAGCGGCAGGGAGAGGGAGAAGCAGGACCCTGGGATCATGACCTGAGCCGAAGGCAGACACTTAACTGACTGAGCCACCCAGGTGCCCCAAAATATTAGTTCCTTCAACTACCTGACGTGATAGAAAGCTCCCAACTATTACCCACTGAGGACAGCCCCCCATCCCCTGGCCACATGGGACACAGACTGGACAACTGGAGGGTTCTATAACTGCCTGAGGGGATGTGAAGGGAGACAGTCAGGCACTGCGCCGGCCTCTCTGACCACCCACATCACCTGGCTTCTTTTCACAAGCACTGACAGCAGCTCTCAGTCTCCCACAAGTGCACTGGGGGCATCTCCCGAAGGTCAAAATGACATGAAGCCTAGAAGTGACCCGCCCAGACCAGAGTGGTAGCTCTGGCATGGAGTGAAAAGGCCTTTGAAAACAAAGGAGTTCTGTGCACCTGGGTTGGCCCACAGGTGAATGGGAAGGAGAGTCAGGTGGCTGGAGGGGACAGCCAGTCTGGTTTTTAGGGTGCCTGAGCCCAGCAGGAGGGAAGGCCAGACCTCCCTGCCACACCTCCTCTCCTGCAAAGCAGAAGGTCTGCCAGCATGCATATCTACGTCAGGTCCCAGGCACCTGGCTTTCTTTCCTGACCCTCTGCCTCTCGCCCTCGGGCCTGGTTTCCTCCGTTCACTGACAGAGAACGGCCTCACTTTAGTACCTGACCTCCGAGGTGGTTCCAGAATGCCGTGCTGCCTTCCGCCCCTGGAATCCCCTACTTGTCTTCCTGCCTCTCCTGCTCACAGCCCTGGGGCAGACCCTATTTCATGCCCCGGAAGCCCCGGGCCCTAGTTGGGCCTAACGGGGAACTGAAGGGACAGCGCGCTGGCTGCTCACCCCCGAGGCAGCCCTGGGATGTGTTCCTCTCCGTCTGCACCCCTAACTCCCAGGACTGGCTCTCTCCTTGTCGTCTGTGACGAGGTCCTCTCCTGGTGTTTGCCTGTGACCCCTCGTGAATCCCCCTTAGCTTCTTTCTGTATTTTCTGATGGCAATTTCTAGCCCATCCTCTGAGAAACCTTCCCTGACTCACAAAGTGGGGTAGAGCCTAGTTCTGGAGCTCTAGGAGCTCCCCAAATTTCTCCTACCGTGACATTCATCAACCTTTGCCATGAGCACACGTTTCATTGTCAGTCTGTCCTGCTGGACTCTACGTGCTCTGAGGAGAGGATGCCACTCCTCCCCAGTGCCTAGCCCAGGGCCTCAGCCCCACAAGGCTCCCCTAACAGTTGTGAAGTAAAAGGCAAGAACGAACGAACGTGCCCTGCTCCAAGGTAGCATGGGTTAAGCACAGGGACGATTTCCTTTAGCCAGACTCACGGCCCAGAAGGACGTCTACGCCCCAGAGGCTGGAGGAGGAAGGAACGTCCTTCCCTGGTCCTGAGTCATATTCCCAGGACCTCACCCCTTCTCTGGTGATTCTTTAGGGCAATGGTTCCAATACCACCGCCCACCACCCCGTCGCCATGCCCCGCCACCCTCTGCCACCCTCCACTCCCAGCCCACCCTGGCTTCGACCTCTGGCCCTGTTGTCCTGTAACCACAGACCCCAAACACAACATTGTGGGCCCAGGCCACATCCGCCAGCCAGCTGCTGCGGCCGAGTACTGCTCTGACTTGACAGACAACTGAGGAGGCCCACTCTGTCTCCCAGACACGGGAGATGCGAGAGGGCAGAGATCACACGGGTTCCATCCGAGGGCTCTGGAGCCAGAGAGAGCCTCGCACTTCCTATTGGGGTGACCTTCCACGGAGCGCGTACTCAGAACCTCAATTCTCTTGCTTGGAACTTGAGCATAACAAATACAGGATGAGGGGGATTGCCATGCTTAACGCAGAGAACGTTAAGAAAGCTCCCAGGACACAGCCTGGAATTTGGGCACAGTTCAACAAATGCTTGTGTTCCTGCACTTACCAAGGCCACTGCCCTCCTCTCTGACCGGGACTGAGACTGCTTCAAGCGAACAAAATAGAGCTGTTCGGTGTTGCCCTAGCTGAGACTTCCAACTGTCCCACAATGTCTGTTCTTCGCTTTTTCTTGGCAATAGAACCTCTAATTTTTTAACTGTGTGTGGCTGCCCCAAATGAAACCGTGTCTCCTGGCCTCCCTCGCAGGAAGGTGTTGCTGTGTCACGAGGATCTGGCCGGTGGGGCGGAGGTAGACATGCTGTCATGACTTCCAGGAGGGCTGAGGGAGGGAGGGCACGCTCACCTTCCTCGCTGCCACCTTCCTAATGGCTGGTGTAGGGTATGGTTGGAGCCCGAGTGTCCATTTCTGCTACCAGATGGAAGCAAGTGGGACAGGAGGTCAGCCACAAGGCGCTGAGATGAAGTCGAACACACACACCTAGGGCTGCCATCGCTGGAGGATCATGCTGGCCTGGGGCTCCTCCTTGTGGACTTCATTTCCGTAAGAGAGAAATTACCTCATATCGTATTTAAGCCACTGGTTGAGTCTTCTGTGACTCCCAGACACACCTCATCCTGACTGATTACAGTCCTGGTTCTTCCTGGATAATTATCCTGAGTTCACTGCAGGTCTGCAGAGAGCTTCCAGAGAACAACAGAAGAGAGTGCTCCTACAGCGTCTCTGGAGCTAGACGTAGGGACCATGTCTCCCAGGGAGCCTGCTGACCATCTTGAAGCAAGCTCCAACGGGTCAGCTGACTCCAGAGGAGAGGGAAGAGACCCCAGTTGACTAAGAATCTACTACACAGCAGTTGTTCTTACAGATTTGACTGGAGCCGATCGGAGACAACATAAACTTGATAAAACAGTAAGGGATCACATTAGCCTTGTAGATTTGACATCCGCTGTGGTTCTTTTTTTTAAGATTTTATTTATTTTATTTTGACAGAGAGAGAGAGAAAGCACAAGCAGGGGGCAGAGGGAGAAGCAGGCTTCCCGCGGAGCAAGGAGCCTGATGTGGGACTCGATCCCAGAACTCTGGGATCATGACCTGAGCCCAAGGCAGATGCTCAACTGACTGACTCCAGACAGTTCACAGATTAAGATGGCAGGGTGAGGCCAGGTGTCTGAGAGAACAGCCCCTCTCATCTGCTGTGGTTCTTATTTGTCTGGTGACGGTTGGTCTCAGAAAGCAACTTACTCTTTGGTACTCCCGTCGGAGTGTGAATGTGGGCCTTAACCAAATCGAACAGAGGAGTTAGAGAAGATCTAGAGCTGGGCCACTCAAAGTGTGCTTACAGACTAGCTGCCCATCCCCACACCGCTTGTTACCAGCCCACAGCGAGATGAGGAGCTTGCGCCAGAACACAGACTGACCGCTTGACGAAGCCCAGTGTTTCCTTCTGCTGACATTTTCCCCCCATCGCGAGATTTCTCGATAAAGGAGTGGTATATATTCTGACATAAGCTCATTACCTCATTTCAGACAGTACTTTAAATAGCACTTCTTTGCCCCGTTATGGGGCTTCAAAAAAATATCGTTTGCCCTACCTCAAACCAAGTGAATCATGATCTCTGAGGAGGGGGCCCAGGCAACTGTATTTTAATAAAGCTGATTCTGAGGAATCCCTCTGGTGGAAAACCACTGTATAGAGATAACAGGACGTGGTGGGGGGTGGGATTCAGGATTGTCTTCTCAGGACCTAAGCAATGTGACCATGTGCACTTGCTTTAAACGTAAGCTGGCTCTGCTGGGCACAACACATTTTTAATAGGGCGATCTTCTTGATCACTGATGTGAGAGGAGTTGGAAAATTGCCGTGGATAAAATCTGAATCCTTCTTTCTAGAGGCTTTTGTTCATATTGTAGTTTTTCTGAAAGCTCTTTCAGTCCTTACTGAATTTATCCTCTCTTGAAACAAACCCAGTTTCTTTAATGCCAGTGTAAAAGAGGAAAAGGGTTTTCCTGCTTTCCTCCATGACAGAGCCCCTGGCACCATCACCACCGTCATCGGACACGCCTCATTGCAGGGGAATTTGGTCCCCATGAAAGCAGGTCAATGGCTCTAAAATGGCGGGGTCTTCCGTGCCCACCTCCGAGGTGATGGAACCCAATGCTCTTACCTGCAGTCCCCAGGCTCAGCAGCACAGCTACCCAGAAGACCCAGAAGAAAATGAGGATGGCAAAAGTCCATAGTGGTTGGAACAGCAGGAAAGGAGAGTTGCTGATGGCCTTATTTATGACTTGAAAAAGTTCAACTGTCAATTTTATTCTCTTTCTGAGGACAAAAATCAAGCTGAGCAGAACTGCCTGGTGAGAAAGGGGTTAGAATAAATGACTCAAAATAGTGAAGAACTGAGAAGGAAACCTTCATATTTCACTGATATCTCAGCAAACAGCTCTTTATCTACTCACTATTTTTATTATAATTGAACAGAAAAATGTTCAAATCCTAACTGAGCATCTACTATGTGCTGGTCCCTATGAGAGACCCTGCAGCTGGAACAGTGAACAAGACACAGTCCCTGTCCTAAGGGAACTTGAGGTCTGGTCAGAGAGCAAGAGAAAATGCAAATAAGGTCCTCTAGGTTCAGAGAACCATCTTCTGTCCCTTACCTCCTCCCCACAATACCCCAAAGACTCAGAGAATGCTCAAGGATTGCAAAAGGCAAGGAATGGAACTATAAGGGGAAAGGACAGTGATTATGCCTCAAAGCAACCTTCTGTGCCCTCCTCGCTACTGGTTTTGGCCTCCCTCCATGTAAATTTCATATTAAATTCATCCCAGTCCAGTCACCTGCCATCTCCTCACACCCTTCACAGGCAAGCTTCTGCACAGACTAGTCTCCATCTGCCATCCACACTTTCACACCCTAACCTAGAGCATGGCATGTGAATCTCTGTCCATTCCTCTTTTCTTAAAACTTTTTTCTCCCTTCACTTCTATGATCGCTCTTTCTTCTGGCTCCCCTCCTACTTCTTCAGTTGTTGTTTCTCAGAGTCTTTGGGGGCTATCTCCTATTCCTTTGTGGTCTTAGCATCCTTCCTAGAGGCTGATAACCTTCATTTCAAATAAGAACCTCCAGCCGTGGGGTGCCTCGGTGGCTCAGTTGGTTAAGCATCTGCCTTTGGCTCAGGTCATGGTCTCAGGGTCCTGGGATCAAGCCCTGCATCTGGCTCCCCGCTCAGTGGGGAGTCTGCTTCTCCCTTTTCTTTTGTGCCCTGTCCCCCGGCTCATGCTCTCTCTCTCAAATAAATTTAAAAGAAGAAGAAAGAAGAAAGAGGAAGAAGAGGAAGAAGAGGAGGAGGAAGAGGAAGAAGAAAAGGAAGAAGAGGAAGAAGAAGAAGAAGAAGAAGAAGAAGAACAACAACAACAACAACAACAACAACAACAACCTCCAGCCTCACCCTTCTCTAGGTGCTAGATGAGTAAGCACATCAGTTCCTGGCCAGGCCATGAACATCCTACCGTGTCTCAAATTCAACTCGTCGTGAGCCAAATTCATTATCTTCACATAAAAATCTCCTCTTTCTTCTAGATTCCCTACTCCAGTGGCCCTAATTTTTCTGGACTCTTCAAGAATAAGTAAGGTTCCTCTCCTGTGTATTTCCATGTTATCCCAAACTTACCAACTGTAGCACTTGGCATTTTCTACTGCAAATGTTTACTTAGCTGAATTTCTCATTAGGTTAAGCTCCCCAAGAGCAGAGCTATCCCTGGTGCACAGCACAATCCCAGTCACCTGCATTCAATTTCCTAGATCTGTCTCTATTCCCACAATTGATCGCAGCTCAAGTCCTATCCTCAACCATCTGTACCCTAATAACGTCCTCATTAGCCTGTTTTTTTAATTTTATTTATTTATTTATTTATTTAAAGATTTTATTTATTTATTTGAGACAGAATGAGAGAGACAGAGAGCACATGAGAGGGGGGAGGGTCAGAGGGAGAAGCAGGCTCCCTGCCGAGCAGGGAGCCCGATGCGGGACTCGATCCAGGAACTCCAGGATCATGACCTGAGCTGAAGGCAGTCGCTTAACCAACTGAGCCACCCAGGCACCCTAATTTTATTTTTTTTAAAGATTTTATTTATTTATTTGACAGAGAGAGATAGCGAGAGCAGGAACACAAGCAGGGGGAGTGGGAGAGGGAGAAGCAGGCTTCCCGCGGAGCAGGGAGCCCGATGCGGGACTCGATCCCAGGACCCTGGGATCATGACCTGAGCCGAAGGCAGACGCTTAATGACTGAGCCACCCAGGCACCCCAGCCTCTGTTTTTAATCCCCTTGGCTCACAACCCCTACTACCCCTTCCTGGCCCAAAGGATCTCACAGTTTAGTGGAGGAAAGTCGAAGGAAGTTGGGATAAACTAAAACTGCTCCCAAAACTGGGAGCAGAGCCTCCTGCCCCAGTTGAACATGCCCAGACACCCCTAAGTTGTAAAGGCTAAGTAGGAATTTCCAACTCTGCATTTTCTACTATCAATAAGAAAGAGGGACCTTTTTTTTGGTTTTACTTAAAATTTTCATGAAGCAAAATTATATGATCTTTAGGTAAATAAACTTGGCTTCTAGCTCCTGAGTAGAAAGCTAACATATGCATATTTCTTTCTTTTTTTTTTTTTTTTAGATTTTATTTATTTATTTGACAGAGAGAGACACAGCGAGAGAGGGAACACAAGCAGGGGGAGTGGGAGAGGGAGAAGCAGGCTTCCCGCGGAGCAGGGAGCCTGATGCGGGGCTTGATCCCAGGACCCTGGGATCATGACCTGAGCCGAAGGCAGACGCTTAACGACTGAGCCACCCAGGCTCCCTAAACATATGCATATTTCAATGCATGTGTGTTTTACAAGTTATATACATGCATACAATACTCCTCTCACATTCTTAAGTACACTGCAAGGATGTTCATTAGAAGCGTAGAGTCAACTCTAACCTGACCCTCTCCCCAGTCTCAGCAGGGATCAGCATTACTTAATGGGGATGGCGCTGGGGGTGCGAGCGAGGCTGGGCTGGGCAGCAGGGCTGATGCACCATGGGGGTCATGTCTTGACTTCACTCTTCTGGGCTCTAAGCCTCCAGGAGCTGCCCTTCAGCCTGTGCTCCTAAGCTTATGCCCTGAGGTATGTGTTTAACGCCAGTCACCCTCTTTTCTTCATCACAGCTAGTGCTTTTTGTGAAACTATTTAGACAACGTTCATATGCAGCCCCCATCTTCCCAGAACAATGTTTTCAAGTTGATTTGTAAGGTAGCTTCTGGGAACTCAGGAGACAGGACCATATATCCACCCAAGTGTCCTGGTAGCAGACAAGGATTTCCCTGGGAAATCTTCACTAGATGAGACTCTCGGTCCCTGCTGGGCTCCAACATGTAGGGAGGGAGTGGGGGAAGACGAGCGAGACGGGGCTCCCATGTGAGAAAGCAAGAAGGGATGAGGGTTGAAGGAGGGGACCTTTCTTCTGCTTCTATTCCCCTCTTGCTAAGGTTGGTTTCCCCCTCTCTTTTGCTTCTCTGGAGAAGTGGGGGTAAGAAAGGCAGAGTGAGGGAGAAGAGGGGTAGCTGTTAACTCCTCTTTCCCCTTGGATACCAGCACTGGGGACAGGGAGTGGTGTCTGACTAGAGGACATAATGTGACTTTCCCTGTCTTCCTTCCCTCACCTTGTGCCAGGGTCCTGTGGGAGCCAAGCTGGGCTGGTGGGGAGAAGAAGCAGGTGGGCAGTGGTTTTCTTAGGTGGAGTTACCCTCTTACCCTATAGCCAGCCCCACTTCCTCAGCCCCAGGTCTCCAGTCAGGGGCATTAGGGGTGGCTCTCTATAGGAATGCCGAGCTTCTGTGGCGGATGCTCCCTAGGGAGGAGGGAAGTCCGTGGAATCTTGCAGGAATATTCCCATTTGACAAATGAGGAGACCCAGGCCTAAGGCCAAGTCATTCTGCGAGGTCACATAGTGGGTAGTAGGTCTGAACACCCACCCGAGACCACAAAGGCTAGAGTCTTTCCCCGTGTACCATGTCATGCGGTTGCTTGCTTTGTAATTCATCTAATCAGGGGGCAGGTGCTATTGGTGTGTTTTGTCTTGCTAGCTCTGTTGCCTAGTGCAGGACCCAGTGCATGAGAGGGGCTCAGTAAATGGCAACGAACAATCTAGGGCTCTTGTGAGGACATGCCCACCCAGCAACCAGCACTTGGCAGGAACTTAGTAAGTAGCGGTGACAAATGTACCATGGGAATGGTGTGGGAGCTGGTTTGCTGCTACCCTCTGACACAGCCCCTGAACAGTCCTCACAGACACAGGTGAGAACAGCCTCTCTGCCTTCACAGCCTTCCCTCACGCTAACCTTACGCTCAGGGAAGAGAAGTCACCCCTGACTCTGGAGTCTGGGTGGCCATTAAAGGTTCAGCGTGTGAAGACAAAGGAAGCCCCATGGAGGGCTCAGGGAGAAGGCAGGCTGTCCCCCCACTCCCTCCCCACTGCCCAACCGCTCCAGCCTCCACCTGGGGCGCAGGGGGTCCCTTCTCCTTCAGCCTCCTCACAGGCCCTGGAGCAGCTGCAGGCCTGGTCCCTGCCCAGGGCAGGACAGATCAGGAACTTTCCTTAGTCATACACTTGCTCCCTGAGATGCACTCCATGTGACGAACACACACCTGAAACCTCACTAGAAAGGAGAAAATGTGGAGACTACCAAATATGGGAATGGAAGGCTCTCCTTAGCCGAGAACTGGTGAGAGAATCTGCGCTCGCCCGAAGAATTAAAGGGCTTGTGGGAACCCTAGCTGTTGCCCATCCATAAACGGTGAGTAAGCAACACGCCAGCAAGGATGGCCATGGTGGCCTAAAAATCAGCCCCAGCCCCCCTCCACGGCCTTGTGATTCTAAGGCTTTTAATGCCCCCTGCGGAGTGACCTGAATGATTTTCCAAGCTCCCTCCTCCCACAACTGGAGACCTGGGGCTGAGGAAGTGGGGCTGGCTATAGGGTAAGAGGGTAACTCCACCTAAGAAAACCACTGTTTGCCGGTTTTCAACTAGGGTGTTCACGGGGAGGCAGTGGGTTCTCTGAACACCAAAATCCCCCAGTGGCCCGCGGGTTTGGAAATAAAGGGCTCTCTGTGTTCAAGGGCAGTGGGAGCTGCCACACCCTGGAGGGGGCAGAGCATCCACCGGCTGGAAGGGGGAGCCTCCTCACAAACAGGAAACAGGAACTGTCGTTAAGTCTGCCCCCTGACCCCCACTCCTCACAGCGTCCACCTTACTGCCACTTGGGGGTAAAAATGGTTCTACTGTGTTCAAGGAAAATGAATCAGCACAAGTAACAAATCAACCTCTGAGAGCTGGCAGAAATGACCTGGGAAGAAGGTAAGGTCTTTTTTCCTGTTTTTTTTTTTTTTTCTTTTTTTGAAGGTTTTGATTTATTCCTATGTGGGTATTGCAAATAAAAAAGAGAACGCACTAAACATGTATTCATTCACCATACTATCATGTATGCATACTCTGAGGTTAAAAAACCCCCACCCAAATTCTAGTTGTTTTTAGTTACAATCCTATTATTCGGATTTCAGAGTTTTAGCAGGCTACTTGACCTCCCGCTGGAAGGGCGTTTCTTACCGTGATTACTGTAGATAGAACAGCAAACCCCAGCAAACACTTCATATTTTCCCTTTCTGTGTCCAGTTCTATGCTGAGGTCATGGGTATAGTCGTAATACAGCCACCATAAGACACCACAGACAACTAGAAAGCAAAACACCAGGTCAACTCAGCACAGATGCATGGGTAACTGCCCCCCCCCCTCCAGCATGTGGACCACACACGGGGTGGCCTGGCTCGGGCGGTGGGTCCCAAGGGCCTGGGGCTTTATGTGTACCAACCAACCCTCCAGAGGAGCTGGCCAGGGCCAGGGTAGCCTCCCCAAGGACTGTCTGGGCCCACAGTGGCTGCCTGTCTTTGGGAGGCACGGGGAGGGGATTGGGTATGGATGTGAGCAGGGCGGAAAGTGCACGGGCAGGGCAGTGAGGGGAACACCATTCAAGTCCAAAGTCTAGAACTGCCCGATGAGCTCCACTGGTGCCGACCCTGCGGGAACGGGGACGTCAGCGTGGCACTCACAAGTCTGGGTGGGTAGCCTGACATTGCACAGGCCCTCCGTTTTAGCACAACCTGCACCTACAACACCACCACGGTGACTAGAGGAGGGTCACATTGGTCTTTCCTTGTCCTAGGCGGGAAAGGGTCCATCATAAGCTGCTGTGCCCGTCCTCCAGCATGGCACGCTGTGCACCTGTGAGCTGTAGGGCTCTAAGTTGCTGAGGGCAGAGCTGATTATTCAGGGGAATGAAACCCTACAGTCATACCAATTTTTAAAAGTTCAAGTATCCCATGCCAGCTGGTAAATAGCTGCTACCTTGAACTTCCTGTGTGCCCCTACCTCTCAGACCCCCTTTCCTGACAACCCCTGGATGGACCCACATTCCGGCCACAAAACGGGAACCAGTGGGCACAGGGGAGGGTCTTTGGGACCCTGCCCCAGCTCAGGGCCTGAATCGTTTTAGACTGGTGGGAGCCTTTGCATGACAACTGTGGGGACCTACATATCAACGGCTGATGTGAAAGGTCAGAAGACATTCTTTAAAAGCAGGCATTCTTTCCAACAAGCCTTGGAGTCTGTTAATGGTATGGCCACGAGGACTGCTGGAGAGAGCAGCAGAGACCACAGACTGGCATCAACTTGGCGAGTATCTGCAGGACACAAGCAAGTCCCTTTGTCCTCTCTGGCTCTGAGTTTTCTCATATGTGAAACGCTGGGGTTGGATGAGAGACTCTCTGAAGCCTATTTAGCTCAAGAATGCCAACTTTTAAGTTCCATACTTAATGGAAATGCTTTTCATTTAATCAAAAAGAAATCCATCAAGTAGAAATACTTACACAGCAGTCCCGAAATAATCAGTGCAATGAAAATGTGAACCAGGAGGGTGGTGATGAATCGGAAGGTGACCATCATGCCCAAAGACAAGGCTGAAAAATTAAGCAGAACATATAAACCCCAACAGCACTCTCAAGGTGTGAGAGTGATGAGGACAATGGCAGGGCTACCATGACTCCCAGAAGAGGGAGGGCTGAGGAGTTCCTTCAGTTTCTAAATATCTTCGACATCTACTAAACAAAAACAACAAGACACACCCAGGGCACTCTCTGAAGCATATACAAGTTCAGTCTGCTATAGTAAGCCAGTTTCTGAAGCCCTAGCATTCTTCTTCAATTAAAAAAAAATTTTTTGTTGTTAATTAGGTCTTATTCCCAAATACCCAAAATGCTGTGGTTTTTTTTAAGAATTTATTTATTTATTTGAGAGAGAGAGAGAGAGAGCATGAGCAGAGGGGCAGAGGGAGAGGGAGAAGGACAAGCAGGCTCCCCACTGAGCGCAGAGCCCAATCCCAGATCACGACCAGAACCTAAGTCAGAGGCTTAATTGACTGAGCCACTACAGGTGCCCCCAAAATGTTTTTTTTAAGTCCAAATGAACCATTAAAAAAA